CCAAAATGACACATGTTTTATTTTATATAGGTTTTTATATTGAGCCGATGGTGGCCGTAAATTGTGTCCAGCCTGACAAATCTCTTTTTTGTATGTGAGCCTCCCTATAAAGTGCAAACCCGCGAGCGTTAGCACATCCTTGCTTTTTTTAAGCATGTTTTGCAACTTGTGTGAAAACCGCACCGTCAAATAATAAAAATTGACTGAGTTATGGGCACTCGACGAGGTGGCCGTATAATTGTGTCCAGGAGTGTATCAAATATCATTCCTCAAATCCATCCGACATCGTCGTATATCGTGAGACGTGATCTCATCAAGAATGAATATGTAGCTTCTGGCGGTATCCTACATGTATTTTATCGGAGCGATGCTGCTATCGGTCAGTTGATATCGTATAAGCCAAGCCACTATGCTTGGATGAATTGCTACATTGGATCAAGGTATTCGATAACTATCACTATTTTTAACCAGAATGACCTGAGAGTGAAGTTTCGAGATAGCTCAGTTAGTATTGTGCTTTTGCTACGAGCAAAACAATAAGACGTTTGATTTTTTTACAAGCGAAAACTACCAGCAAGCTTCCGCTTAGAGCGCACTACGGCCATTTCATCCTTTGCTTTGTCAGATCATTTCACTGGATGTTTACTAACACTCAGGTGAAGGCGAAAGCCTTTGCCAACGTCTAAGCCTTGCCTAACCCCGACTCCGTATCGACGACGCATCTCACCACGAACTGACTTGATCAGTTTCTCATGCTCTGGTTTGGTTGCTTTAAAAAGCAGATAACGCTCGCCAGCATTGACTCCATCTGTTAATACTCCGTTTCGTTTGGCATAAGAGAGAGCATTTTTTACACACCGCTTTACGTCTGCTACGGAAAGTCGACCTCCAGCCTTTTCCTCATCGCTATCATAAATATCTACTACCGTAAGTGATTTGAGAGCCGCACGAGCAGGCATGCCTGCCTGAGGAGTTCCGAATGCCGTCGCTATAGCGGGGACTGTAAAGTCGGCTGCTTTAGATATCCCTTTGTCTTTGAGGAAGCTGAATGCCGATTTCAATCCAGATTTAATCTTAGACCAGATTGACCCGCCCTGAGCTCTCTTGTATTCTTTCTTGATCTCATGAGGAGTAATATCGAGTCTAACGCCACGACCCGCCTTGCGAGGCTTGAGTGCCTTCTCATAAGAAGTTGGGTGGAGATGAACAATCGCTCCACTGCCTTTTAGCTCATTAGCTGTAAGTAAGATCTTACCTGTTTTTAGAGCTCGGGTTAGCTTGGGTGCTGGTACATCGCTTGAAATCGTTAGTTTACGGTACATGCTTGTCTATATTCCTATGAATCAAATTAATCTAGAACTGTTAAATTCATATCACGTACGTTTTTTGAATAAATTGGGTTGATTGTTCTGCTTTGAGTATAACTAAAGGAGACAGAATGGTCCACAATAACCATCATACGTACCTTAGTATTGTTTGGTGTTGTATTTACTGATTTCATATTTTGTTGGAGGACCTTCGCCCATAGAGTCATAGTAAACCCCGTTGTGGACTGCCGTCCAATGCCCGATCTCAAGGTTAGGAGGTCTCATCAGAATCATAAACGACCCCTTTTTCGGGAGTGGCTTAATTATTTCAGATGATTCGTAGATGTTACCGAGATGAACACCAATTTTCCCAGCAAGCTCAATAAGATCGTGATCACTCGTAATACCCCTAATAAGGTCTACCATATTAAATTATTTCGAAAACTCTATGTTTACGGATATAGATTCAAGCATGTCTGAAACTCAGCTATCATATCATTTCCTCACCAGAGCTCGCTGAAGAGCGATCCGTAGATCAAGGTGTCTTCAGGAAAGCGCGTACCATTCGTGATCGATTTGAATCAAGGATCGTATCAAAATGGTATTATTACTATCGGTGCTACGGCTCAGTAGAATGGAAGCTTAGGTTTTGCTTCACTACGTGATGCTTATATCATGCTTTCATACAAGGTATCGATGCGGAACGGTGTGACTGCCCAGACAGCTGCGCTAATTGTTTCTGCGCGACCCTGAAATGTGGTAATTGGAATGTTATTGACTCGTTATCGCTTGAGGTGAATGGGAAGACGATTGTCAGCATGGCTGACTACTTCTTCTGGAACAATATTCGAGCTCAGACATCATATAGTCCTCAATACGTTCAGAAGCATGGTGCAGAGTCTTTCCTCTACCCCGATGCTGCTCAGTCGATTCTATATAGCTCGGGAGCCAACTCTACTACGGGAGACGGATACACTAAGACTAGCGCATTTTCATCTTCATTTGGAACGAGTGCAGCGGCTGGCGGTGCATCTATCGTCAATGATGGCTTCATTAAACGTCTCCTATCCAACTCTCCTAACGCGGGGACTAATTTCTCTAGTTCTTGGCCATCGCTCGGTTCAGCTGCTGCATCTACCACGATCGCGAATCAAACCGCACGCGGTGCTTTCGTTGCTGGCACAGGGACATCTAACGCGATTATGGGTACTTATAATTATATGCTCAAGATTAAGCTGACCGATCTGCATCCAATTTTCAAGGAGCTTGGCTTAATGGCTAATCCGCAAATCCGTCTGCGCTTCAGGGTAAACCAGGGGTCTCTTCGGTTGCTATTGATGCTACGAAGGATATGTCGCTAACATCCACTACTCTCTCGTCAGATAATACTTGCCCGGTAATGGCTGCTGCGTCCTCAGCCGGTAATCCAATGGCTGGAGTGCTTGCTGCTTCGGCTCCGTTCGGCATCGCATGGGGAGCGGTTGTAAACTCGATCGAACCAACTATTGATGGGACTTATATGCCTTTTATAACGAGTCGTCTCTATGTGCCGTTTACGCATCTAGAGAATCCTCAAGCAATCATTTCCAATCCGATGGAGAAGGTTCGTTTCAACGATTGCTGTGCTCAGCTTTTCTATCAACGCGCGGGCGTCGGTAAGCAGTCAACTCAACTTAATGCATCCTTCGATCTACAGCTATCGTTAGTGTTAAGAATGCTAAATACGTCATTCTGTCGTATACCTCCTCTTCCTTTAAGGGTCGGGTAGTCCGCGGCTGTTCAGGGAGTACGGTCTTGTTCAGTGGCTGCAGGAACGGTAGATAGGAACACTAGAGAGTTGAAAATAAAAGTTTGTTGATTGGCTTGGCTTCCTCTTGAGTAGAAGGAGGGATATATAAGACTGAGAGCTAGCCGGAAGAGAGGCCTAACACCTTCTCGACCTTACATACACTACACTACATATTAGAAAAAAGGAAGGATTCACTTCTTTGTCGGCCTTCGTGGGACAACGGAGAGCTTCCGGGAAGGAGCTTGATGTCGCGAGGTGCTTTTGGTCCCACGACGCCAAGACACCGGCGTTCTGGGGCCCCCTTATAGGACCACCCTAACGGGCTCGGTCAGGGGCACGTGCGTTGTTGGGTTCAACGGGAACCACCCTGACGGGGCGGCTGGACGAGGAGTGATTCCAGGGTCTCGAGTCATCCCGGCGGGAGGCAGAGCTCCTGGAATGACCCCTCCGTTCCCGGGTACGGGACAATTCTACTACCGTTGCTGAGCAGACGAATAGTCTCAACTCAACGGCTGTGCAAGCGTTTCAGAGTCCGTTTGATAGCGCTCCTTGGACGCTACACCCTGGCTTATCGATTAGAAATTTCAACGTTCGCATCGGTTGGACTCAGTGCTATGATATTAGTCATGACGACGATTTTCATCAATTATCCAACGAAGTCTCCAAAATTAGCGCTATCAATGGTGGTCTGACCCCTGAGCTTGTTAACGGGCTGCTTGATTACCAGACGTGGTCGTTGACCAATCGCGTCCTCATTGCTGATGTCAGCCGCCTGCCGGAGCATGATGTCCCTCAGTCCATTCAGATTCAAGGCGTTAACGCCGGTTGCCAGGGTGTTAATATGAAAGTTCTCGTAATCAGCGAGCAGGAGCTGACGTATGATCGTCTAACAGGAGAGGTTTTAGATTTTACAACTGCTTAAGGTAAATATTTATTAATTTTTTTGATAATCTGTATTGGTATATAGATACCATGTCCACACAGCTCTGTTTCAGTAAGCACAAAGGCTTAACCATCAAGGAGGTCCTCCTTAAGGATCCAGGCTATTGTCACTGGCTCCGCTCTCAGGAAATGCTCACCGGTGCCCCAGATTCTGATATTGCAAAATTTCTATTGAGTAAATTAGGTAATGTACCCGACGATGGATTGTATTTGCTAAATTTTGGGAAGTCAGTCAAAGAAGTGTTTACACTTGACGATGAATATTTATACTGGCTTTGATCGTGTAAATTTTATACGGAAAAGGCTCCGAAGCTTTGCTATCGATGAATTATTATAGAGCTAAGTAATTTATGTAACAGGGTCAAATCATTTTTTTTGTTTACTCCTTAATCATTTGTCATGATCTTGTCTTATTGATTCTATTTGGGGTTCCTTCTGAAGTAACGAATATTTCTCACGGTCTCAGGTGGTCGAGCGGTCGTCTTGTTAAAACTACTCCTTGAGCTTAGAAACGACTAGGCCTAGTCTCCTTGTTAAATTTTGATAATGAAAGAAATCGCTATTGTAAACAGCTACTATTTACTACTTGCATGATCAACTCCGCCTACAAATGTTCTCACCGCAGATGTTCATTTAGTTCAAGAAGTACTAGAAGAGTCTTGTAGTGGGCTCGTGGAGTCTGCACGTACCGCTGAAACGCCAGCGATGAAACGGGGAGAGTGGCATGGGGTTTTGCACAGCCAATTGCTGCAGCTGAAGTTGGAGAACTTCGCAGGTATAGTGGCAACACCGCCACCAAGCAGCCAGAAGTGAAAGCGCCCCCAGCTACGGCTCACGCATACAGTGGAGCAAAGGGATACCTGGGTAGCTGTTACGGGCGTTAAAAAACGCCGACAGCGGTCGTACAGGGTTTTTATCCTCCTACACTCGGATCGCAAGAAGAGGTCATTCGCTACGACTTCCTTTTGCGAGCGCCGCTCTATTGATGATGCGAAGTGCTGGCTGTGCAACAAGGTACGACGTCTGTACAAGGGAGTTGCTAAAACGTGTTTTGAGATCTGGCACGACGACTTCGATTGCGGCCATAACATACATGCTACACTGGACAAAATAGGTGTTTTGCGGTTGTCGAGTCAGAAAGCTGGCGCGCACAAGTAGCCCGAGCTACTGCTTTGTGAAGGAGAATGCGGTGACGATAGAAAAGAGAGCGGAGAAGAGAAGGCTTTCCCTGTGCGACATCAAATGAGTGTGAGCTTTTGTTTGATCGTAATACAGCTTTCTTAAACCTCCGTACGCTCGGCTCTCTTCTTTTTATTTGTTTGAATTCATAAAGCAGCGCTTGCACCACTTAAATCTAGATCTACAGCAGACCTTCCCGCTGTACTTACCAATTTGAGGGAACTTACGACAGGCGATGCTCTCCGCTAGCTGCTACACTGTAAAACTTACGAGATATTAAAGATATACCTCTCGAGAACTTATATATCTATCCGCAAGTCGAACATCTTCCACATACAAACATGTAGTGACATGGATACATCGTAAGTTACGACTTAAATTATCTCGTTTTCGATACACTTCACCGGGAACTAAGGGGTTAAGGACAAAACAATAGGACGGAAAGTTAGCGCCTTGGCTCGGCAGCAACACCAACATTTAAACAGTCTTCCTTCCATCCACATAAAGCCCTTTGTGACATGGATACATCGTAAGTTACGACTTAAATTATCTCGTTTTCGATACACTTCACCGGGAACTAAGGGGTTAAGGACAAAACAATAAGACGGAAAGTTAGCGCCTTGGCTCGGCAGCAACACCAACATTTAAACAGTCTTCCTTCCATCCACATAAAGCCCTTTACGCGTGATGTTCACCGGGATGAGAATGGACACTCAGGCTTGTCACTAATAAAAATCCTTGAAATGGCATGTCCTTGATTCTTGGATAAAAATCACAATTTAACTTGAGATCAATATGTGGCAACTGACAACGAAGTATCCATGAACGGATTTCTGTTATATCAGACTCTTTGAAATTAAGTACAGCGCAGCACCCTCCTTAGACCTGGTCCAAGTGGGGACCACGTTCTGTGCTGAACAATTTAAACAATTTGATTGGCTAAGAATTATAGCGCTCTTGCTTTTGTTTTGCTCGTTTGTGTCTTATGATTTAGCTCTCCAGAACACCAGCCAGAGGTGTTCTAGCGAGAGAACAATTGTGCTAGAAAAAAAGGCCCTGCAAGACTGGTCGCGCGGATTCCAGTCCGGAAGGCCGGGAAGCTCGCACCTGTGCAGTGCGATAGGTAGTGACAGGGGTCGCGCGGCATATGAGCAATAGCTCTTAGGTCCAAGCGGTGATTGGTGAGGTCTGCCTATGATGCCGTTCCCCTTCATCAGCAGATAGCACACACGGCTCGACATTGTAGTGTACTTCTGGCGGGGAATTGAAATGAACCGCAGTCAATGGCTTTTAAGAAGGCAGAACTTACTTCGACAACCACAGCCCATATAATCTAAACTGCAAGCACAAAATACGACAAGCAGAAAGCCCTAACCCAGTCTGAAGCACAGAACACAATTCTCGACCCGAACCTTACGAACTCTAAGTTACTTTTGTCGTATTTACTTCTAAACTTCGTCGTACTTAAACGAGTTTTGGTCATTTTTCTGGGAATTAAAAGGTTAAGGTTAAGTGTAGTCATTGATATTAAAGGCTGAAGCACGCATGTAACGTCTATTTTAGATTAAGCATCTATGATTGGTTCATTCATTTTATTACCAGATCTTGACCCTGTAGTTTATAGGCTAAATTACATATTCGCACACGCGTTAGGACTGCATTATATATTAGAGTTTGTAAAGACTCATGTAGCTCATCGTCTGTCAGTGCGTATGAAAATATTAATTTGCTTTGACTTTGAATCGTGATGCAACGGCTTTCACAATTTATTTTACTGGCCCACCACTACTTTCTCTTAGCATCACAAATTTCTCGAGGTGCTCCAATAGGTAAACCACATTACAATCGTTGTTTTTTAGTCCTATTTAAGGGAATTCCTATAGCGGGATGTACAATAATAAAGGATCATAGTCTATTAGCTCAGTACAGTCAAACCAGCAGTACATTACAATAGTACCTGTAAGCCAAAAAAACTACACAGCAAATACATAGCTAGCGATAGCTCAGCTCAACCCTCGTGCTTACTCTCCATTGAATGCAGCGACCGTGCGTCACTTAACGGTTTGTTGTACTCTGGGTTGTCAGGGAGAACGTTCTGGACCATAACGTGGATTTTAAAGTTTTTTGTTCATCTTCTGGATGTCGTGTAAGCAGCAGTATGAGGATTGCAGCAACACGCGTAAAAATACTTAGTCTGGAATGATGTGGATTCCTTCCGGCGTGTAATGTATGCCCATTATTTGAATAATGATTAAAATACAGTACTGTATTCCATGTTACAGCTGAGGTGAGAGGTTAAATTAACTTGAGTTTGTATGCCAGAGCCGCATTTTTATTGGAATTGAGGGTGTACATGTATTCCAAGACAGGGATGACTATTAATACCGAGGGGAGTGTCTGTCCACTCGGGCCAGCGCCACGGTCCGTCCGTGGCCCACAGACACCCAGTTCACTGTGAAGTCTTCACACCACTTCCGAAACTTCCCACGGAAGGTCCTTCCGTCTGCGGGACTAGAGCAACTGGGGCTCGATTAAGCCTGACGGTCAGACGACAGCGCCACATGTATCCCGATCCGGCTCTATATAAAATACTGCAGAAGTCAAATTTGGCCGAATATGGTTGTCGGAGCAGCCTTTTAATTTTCGCACGCGTTTTCACGAGTATAATGTGTTGGAGTGTTACATGACCAACGCGATCGGCGGAGTGCCGAACAGTATCAGCTTCAAAAGGTACAGACAATTCCTGGTCAATGCAGTGCATTGACCGGGATTGTCTGTACCCTTAGTGCATTGAATGCACTCTCCGCCGGAGATTCTCCGGCGGCAACTGCGCCAACCTGCCCTCGAGCTGATCTACCAGGTACTGACTGACTTGGATACCGGTACATGTACATATATTTTTACTACAGTCGTGCACCTCCAATTCGGCACCGGTATCAGTCGATACCCTGCCAGATTTTATGATTACGCGAATCACATGCGCAATTACCTTTGCCCATCACCACCCTAACAATTAACCTCAACGATTCCCCTCCTCGCCGAGGGATGACACGCCGCATGGGCAATCTGATTTTAAATTTTGGATCGGACGTCTTCATACAAACACACACTTTGATTTTTACCGCCAAAGACAATGGGACATCGCCCTTCCTCCTACATGTCCCCACAAAAGCAGTCTTTGTGCGAGAAGCACAAGTCAGATCCTGCATGCTCTCACTCCGAACTTGCTCGTTGGGCAACGGAGCGCTTTAAGACCCCCCGAGCAGTTAGGCGCATTACCGTCCAGAGTATTCTTAAGCGGTCCGCGGAAGTTGCCGCCTTGCCGGACTCCAATCCCGACCGAAAGCGCTGTTGCGCGCCCGCGATTCGCGCGTCTGACGCCAAGATTACATGTATGCAAAGGATTGGCGTAAATTTTGTACTGAATTAACAAATAAAATATCAGTGCACTGGATTTGCGTTTGCTTTTTGCTTTACGTTGTGCACTTATGCTCTGGCACTGTTGATATGGTCCGCCCTGCCGAATTGGAGGTGCACGACTGTACTTCGTATTCATACATTATTCCTACTACTTCGAAGTACTACATGTCATGAAGTCTCATTACTTTGCGGCAAGGGCTTTACGCGTTTTTGCGAAGGGCAAGTTTGCTTGCAGCACATCTGTCATTGCTTCGTCGACTTGCGCCACCCTCGTCCCGTGTACGTCCAGTACACCTTGAAGTGGCCTCGCACGGTTGCACCAAGCAGCTCGAAAAACGGCAGGCAGCTTGCTGGCGTTTACGATCGCTATAATGCACAAGGCAACACGTACACGTCGTTGCTGGAAGATCACCGACGGTGCTTGCGGAGGCTCGGAAATCTACAATCGGCAACTTTTTTCTTTGTGATCCTAGCTAGAGACCGCCCGCCTCATCTGGCAATTTCATGCTTTCATGTTCGTCTCTGTGTTTTGCCAATCCGTTTAACGCTCTGATAAAGATCCGGTGGATGCACTGGATTGCCATGGCTGGAATCGTAAGTGTACTTTACAGTCTGAAAGTGGGGTGTGCATGTATTAAGCTTTTACGCGTACGTTTAAAACAAATGTACTGTACATCTGCGAAGGCTATATATGTACCGGTGCATGCATAAAATATTTTTTAATGCTATTAATACAGTGCACGTAAAATACTATGGCGAAAGCAAAAGCGATATGCACTTGCTTTTTTAAAAGCGGTGTTTTGTTTGCCGGTATTTAAAAATATTAGAACAGTTATTGTACTGTACACGTATTATATTAGTTACCAAATTTTAATACCTGTTTATTAATAGGCAACCTTGTTCAGCCAACAGAACAAGAACAAAATGCAACAGCAGTACAACACATAATAGCACATTATGATAAACTTAGCAGTATTTCGGTAGTCTTTGCGATCCTGTAGCAATCATGTACTGTGCAGTACTACGGTTTGGTGGTCTCGGCTCAGTGGCAGCACGACAACTGCTGCCGCAATACAGCAGTGCCCGTGCGCCGCTTGCCGGTCTAGCAACTTGCTCGTATTAGTACAGATAGTACAGACTCGCTCGTATTACTGTAGTACTGTAGGCTGGTTGCCTCAACCATGCGCTGGCGTCTTCCTCTACGTCGACGTCGACCTCCTCGTTTTGAATTTGCACATCGCTTCGGATAAAGAAGATACGGAGGCTGTCGCATATGGTGTGGCTCACATGACAATCCATAAAACCTCGCCCATCCTTCACTTGTCGAAATAGGCAGAATGCATCGTTTTGTATTGAACAGACGAGCCAGCGTGAGGTAACGAGTCGGTTCGAGTAAAAAAACCTCGGGTTGCCAATTCCTTTGGATCCGCTCGCTGATTGGCCAAATAGAAACAAATCAGCCAATCACCGAGCGGTTATCGAGAAGAGAGCAGGGGCTCCCTCCAAGGCGGACAGCAGCACCTGCGGTTGGCGTCGTGTGGACGGGCGGTACTCAAAGTCCGTGGCGGCAATTTCATTCTGCAATTTCCCGACAGTCAACGACGCCAGCGCACTTGTTTCTTCGAGTTCGCAGTCGTCCGTTTCCCGTGGAGACCAGTCAGAGCGTCTTCGATCAACTAACGGACCCAGTCTTTCTGTCGACGAAGCCTCAGGCTCCGCACCAGACACACCCCAAATGGCTGGTGCCGCAGGTAACTCGTATATGTCCCTGGCGACGCCCAACGACGTCAAGAACTACACGAACGACGTCGGCCAGATCCAGTGGGCGCAAGTGCCACTGAACGCCGCGCTTGACAAGCTCAAGTCGTCCCGTGAGGGTCTGACGTCCGATGAGGCCGAGAAGCGTCTGGCCGAGTACGGCCCCAACAAGCTGCCGGAGGAGAAGATCAACAAGCTGACGCTGTTCCTGGGCTTCATGTGGAACCCGCTGTCGTGGGCCATGGAGGTGGCCGCCGTGTTGTCGATTGTGCTGCTGGATTACGCCGATTTCGCTCTGATCCTGTTCCTGCTGCTGCTGAACGCATGCATCGGCTACTTGGAGGAGGTGCAGGCCGGCGACGCTGTGTCGGCTCTGATGGGCCAGCTGGCGCCCGAGGCGAAGGTGTTCCGTGACGGTGAAATTAAGAATATCCCGGCGGACCTACTGGTCCCCGGTGACGTGCTGCGTGTGCGTCTGGGTGACGTGATCCCGGCCGACCTCAAGTTCCTAGAGGGTGACGCGGTCAAGGTGGACCAGTCGTCGCTGACGGGTGAGTCGCTGCCGGTGACGAAGAACGAGGGCGACGAGGGCTACTCTGGTTCGGTTGTGAAGCAGGGTGAGATCGAGGCCGTGGTTACCAGCACGGGTGTAAACACGTTCCTTGGCCGAGCCGCCGAGAAGATCGCGTCCGCCGACTCGCACGG